AAACACCGGAACTGCATGCGCATGCACAATCAAATGCATAAAACATTAGGTTCTTTTAAGACCACCCATGCATGCATGCATAAATCTTTCAACATCCAACTCAACCAGGCATCAAATGCATTTGACATAGTTAGGCTGCTGTTTACCTCTTAAAAAGAGGTGGCGATGGCTCTCCAATACCCACCTGCTCCTCCGCCACAACCGCCACCACAAACTTGATTGAAACAACCAAAAATCTTGGTCGAGTAAATCATCAAAAGCTTAAAGAGAAAAAAACACCCTTAAAACCGATTAAGAAATAAAATATCTGAATACATCAGTATTTATCGATCGGGGGACGGGGGGCTTAATTAGAAACTTACTGTACAGATAGGTAAGTGTGGGATAGGTAAGGGGCTGTTTACACACCACTTACCCGGTAAGTGCTTATATGTAAAATTTAACACTATCATTGACTTATCCAATAAGATTTTAGTCCACAAAACGGTATCGTATGCAACAATTTACTCGGTAAGCACTTACCGTGTTAAGAATCGTCACCCTTACTTACCGGGTAAGACTCTTGGTCCTTGGTTCACTCGATCCTTGGTCCTTACTATATTCATCCAATATGATAATATGACTTGGTATTTACTTACCCCAGCAAATACCCCAGCAAGTGTTTCTTAAACAGCCCTCAAGTGTGGGATAGATAAGTGTTTCCCAGTAGTTTAGTTCATTGGGAAAGGTCCTAGCTATAGCCATCAATACTCGCTCACTTTCCGTACAGAAATCAGGAAACGTATTGATTAACTCATATGCTGTACCTGCAAAGGAGTGTGAATCTGTATATATGTCTCTGGGGGTTATAATATATAAATTATGGGATATTTTTGCTATATATGCACTCACTCACTGTATTGTTTTGCAGTAATGGCATTGACAACAAGGCTGGCTCCTTTTTTGGAGCCTTGAGAAATGACCAGCTGCTTGGCTTTGTGATTATCAACGGCGACTTTGAACAAATATGCAAAGGTCTGAAATTGCATATTGTTAAAAGCTTTAATCAATGGGTCTTGGTCTTTTTTGTCTCTAATTGTCAATAGGTCCTTGTGCTGATCAACCAACAGCTTCATTGCATATTTGTTACCAACACTTACGGCAACATGAAGGGCCGTGCTTCCATCCGCATTTTTCTTTTCAAGTATTTCTTTTTCTGCTTCCTTTTTTATAAACAGTAACAACTTTTCGACTATATCGTTTTGACCCATTTCAACCGCCATGTGAAGCAGTGTGTTCCCGTCATTCCGTATATCAGTTTTCAATAAATCCTTATCACTTTCCAATAGCTTTTTTATTTCCCGCCAACTCCATTCCGATGCATCCTCATACAATAACATCGACATGGCCGGTCTTAAGATTTCTGGTGTCCTGTGCGAAAATAATAAAAAATGCTCCTAAGCCTATTTTTTTAAGTTAATGAAACAACGAAACATGTGATTTTTTTAAAGAGTCTAGAACCTATTCAAGCTATGTATATCATTCCAATGTTGATTTTTATTAATTATAATAAAAAAAGTACAATGGGGGGACATAAAATCTAAAACCCCTAATACAAAATATAAAATGGTAAATAATGGATTAAGATCGTGGTTCCTTCTTTTTCAGTTTTCTCTTTTCCAAATTGAAATTAGCAAAATAGAAACTTTATTACAATATATGGGACCTAAAAAAAGACAGGGAACACTACAATTACTTTTTAACTAAAATAGTAAATTACATCCAAATTAGTGTCATAGTAAGCAAAAAGTAAAACTTAAAASTTACAGGTCTAACGACTAAAGGCTAAGGGTCTATCTGTTAACAGCTTAATAAATTTAATGAAACTAACAGATTATTCAGTCAACTATGCATGATTGTTTCATAGTGGCTTAATGATATAGAAAGCGATTTATCCAGTAAACTTCTAGGGGGAGCTTTATATAGAAAACCAAGTTTTTTTTTACAAAGATGTCCCTTCCAACTAAAAAATGCTTCTTACATATGCGAAAAAACTTTCCTAAACAAAAACTTTTTTAACTTATACAAACAGATTAATTCATACAGACAACTTTATTGTTGCAGACAATTTTATACAATAAAAAACTTTTCCAACTTTTTCCAAMTATGTGCATTTAGTATTCATCACTACTRGGCATGACCCTATTTTTATAGTTAAAGCTCAGGTGTGCAATTCATAAATTATTAAACCTTAAAACTAGTAATAAATGACAAATTGATGCCCCTTTGGTTTTGATGTCTTGTGCGGCCGCACGGGCTGCACGTGGCTAGGGCCGGCCCTGAACATCCATTTGAGTTCGTACCTTTCTAGCGCATCCCTTCTTAGTGCTATTGAAAATAGGCCAGCTTCTATGTCTTCTGAAATCGTACCTACAACATGTTATACGAAAACATGTATATATATAAATATATATGAAAACTAGGTTTTGTATAATTAAGCACACGTTGAGTACTTTTTGGATAATTAAACAAGGCATACCTTGTTGAGAACTCATTGTTGGCTGAACATCTTCGGCTGAACGGAGTTCATACAAAGATTTCAGCTTGTTCCAAACATCTTTTGCGGAACTGAGATCGACCACGGTGTCAAGCACACCTTCGCTAACTGAACCAAAAATCCAACCTTTAAGAAGATTGTCATATTGTTTCCTGATCTTCTCGCTCGAAGCTCTCGGGCCATGGACAAATGTATCATCGACGAGGCCACGCATGTAGTGAGTCTCCATGAGGCAAAGCATCTGTGTCTCCCAACGATGATAGTTGTGTTTGCCAGAAAGCTTCACAGAAACAAAGTTAGAAAAATTAGCATTTGATGCATACAAGTAGTCAAGGTCTTGTATTTGTTGTGATGATGAGGCAGCCATTTTGAATGCAGTATGGATGGATGGATGATGGGAATGGGCAGGTAGAAGAATGAATTATATGGTTGATGCATTTCAATTTTTAGCATTTTTCCTTTGCTTGTCTCCTATGATTTTCTTTTGCTTTTGCTTTTTCTTTTTCTTTTCCCAATTCTTTCCTTCTCGTCCTCATCCTCATCCTAAATCCATTTTTATTATAATATCCAATCATTATTATTAATTTTCTAAACAAAATAAATTCTTACATTTAGTGACGACTTTCCGACGGAAAAAACTGTTACAAGTGGGTTGGTAAATTCTATTGACAATTTATCGACACCTTTTTGTCGACGACTTTTCGACGGGGCCAATTACCGATGGATTTCTGATGGTTCACATTACTGAGGGATTAAAAAATATCAATAAACTTGGATAATTAGTTGGATCGT